CGCGCCCCGGCCGCTCGCACTCGGGCGAGAGGCCCTACAAGTGCGGCGACTGCGGCAAGGCCTTCGCGCAGAACATGCAGCTGGTGGGCCACCTGCGCACGCACGCGGGCCAGCGGCCCTACCGGTGCGGCGACTGCGGCGAGGCCTTCACCCTCATCACGCACCTCCTGGACCACCAGCGCACCCACACGGGCGAGCAGCCCTTCTCCTGCGACGCGTGCGGCCAGCACTTCACCAAGCGCGCCTCGCTGCTGGGCCACCAGAAGGTCTACGCGGCCGAGAAGCCCCACAAGTGCGGGGTGTGCGGCAAGGCCTTCCGCAAGAAGTCGGACCTGGTCAACCACCACCGCATCCACACGGGCGAGCGGCCCTTCCGCTGCTACGAGTGCGGCAAGGCGTTCACGCAGAGCATGACGCTGGTGGAGCACCAGAAGACGCACACGGGCGAGAAGGCCTACCGCTGCCTGGAGTGCGGCAAGCGCTTCACCAAGTCGTCGGCGCTCATCCTGCACGAGCGCATCCACACGGGCGAGCGGCCCTTCCGCTGCGCCGAGTGCGGCAAGGCCTTCAACCAGAACGTGCAGCTGGTGGTCCACCAGCGCAGCCACACGGGCGAGCGGCCCTTCCAGTGCGCGGCCTGCGGGAAGTCCTACAGCCAGAAGGGCTACCTGGCCGTCCACCAGCGGACGCACACCGGGGAGAAGCCCTACGAGTGCGGCGAGTGCAAGAGGGCCTTCAGCCAGAAGGCCCACCTGTCCATCCACCTGCGGATCCACACAGGCGAGAAGCCCTACAGCTGCGGCGAGTGCGGGCGGAGCTTCCGCAAGGTCTCCTTCCTGTGCCAGCACCAGGCCATCCACAGCGATGAGCGGCCCTTCAAGTGCGATGAGTGCGGGAAAGCCTTCATCCGCAAGTCGTCGCTGGTCCAGCACGAACGGATCCACACGGGCGAGAAGCCCTACCTCTGCGGCCATTGCGGCAAGACCTTCCGGCACCAGCCCACGCTGACGGCCCACCGCAGGATCCACACCGGCGAGAAGCCCTACCAGTGCAAGGTGTGCGGCAAGGCCTTCCGCCGCATGGGGAACCTCACCTGCCACCAGAAGATGCACCCCGTCGAGGCGCCCCCAAGTGGGCCAGCCGAAGATGGCTGCTACCGGAGTGGCCGGCCCGGTGCTGGGGAGGAACAGAATTTCGACCCCGTGCCACTTTGTAGTGAACTTAGAGGCGACCGAGAGGATGACGTCGTGTACCTGGGATGTTCTCTAGCCTCCAGTCCTTAGGGAAGGACCGTGGGGCACAGGGCACAGGCCAGACACCGTGAGCCATCTGTTACAGAATAAACAGGTGGAGGAGGCGGGCATCCCGTCGCATCATGCACCGGGGTTCCCTAAAGTTAGGCTCCTGTCTACAGGGCAATATTAGGCACCACCCATGCACGTCCCACACTGCCCCTGGGGAGGAGGTCTCTCCTGGAGTTAGGTCCGAGCAAGGCAGCCATGTCTACGTGCCAGATGGCATGCACCGAGAACAGGCAGCGGGGAGGCGTCACAAAGACCAAAAAGGGGTGTCTGAGTTTCTTGTCCTGCTGTCACGCAGCTTCGCCGTCCGAAATGTACTCCCCCACAGCTTAGAGGAGGAGAAGTCCAAGTTAAGGGGGCCAGCTCTGGGGAAGGCTCTCTTCCTCGGTCGGGTACTCTGCAAGAAGGGTCATGGCTGCTCTCGGCATCGGTGGGCCAACGTTCCTTGTGGATGCCCATGTGTCTTGGCACCAGGTGGATGCCTATGTGTCTTGGCACCAGGTGGATGCCCATGTGTCTTGGCACCAGTCGTCCCTTGGGTCCAGAGCTCTGCTCCTGGCTCGCTTCTCTTGGGGATGGTAGGTCCCTTTAATCTCTGCTCCCCTTAATGCCTTTTATACCTCAGAAGAGATGGTCTCAAGATACCATCACGAACTGCCTCTGATTCTGTCTCATTCACATCATTCCACCCACAGCAGCTCTTTGTAGGGTTTCTAAGACTGTGAATCCTTGTAGGAACAGATAGCCACGTATTTTAGTTTCCATTTCTCACAGAGCAGCTGGTGAATCTGAACCTGTGACCTTGGGGTTAGCAGCCCAGACCTAACCCATAGCATCACGTGGTGGTGGTGTTAGGTGCTGACTCACCAAGCCCAGGTACAACAGAAGGAACCATTCCCCTAGTCCTGCGTCATCCTCCCGATTTTCATGTGTAAGCTCATTGGAGCAGCCACTGTGTCCATCCGTCTTGTTGAAGGTCTTCCTCTCGGGGGCTGCCCCTCTGCTTTCCCAAGAATGATGTCCTTCTCCAGCGCTGATCTCTCCTGAGAACATGTCCAAAGTACATAGGACAGAGTCTCACCAGCCTTGCCAGAAAGGAGCATTCTGGCTGTCCATTCTCCAACACAGATCTGTTTTCTCCTTGGCAGTCCATGGTACTTTCATCTCCTTCCTCCAACACCATAGTTCAAACGCATCATTTTTCCTTCGGCCTTCCTTATTCAGTGTCCAACTTTCACATGTATAGGAGGTCATTGAAAATACAATGGCTTGGCTTACGCACACCTTACTCCTCAAAGTAACATCCTTGATTTTCACCACCTTAAAGAGCTCTTGTGCGGCAGATTACCTAATGCAGTGTGTCATTTGGATCACTTGACTGCTGCTTCCATGAGCATTGAGTGTGGATCCAAGCAAGATTAAATCCTTGAGCACTTAAATCTTTTCACAGTGTATCATTTGTCCAGTTGTACTTTTGAGATAGCAGCTCATGTTCATCATGTTTTGGGCACCTTTAAACCCGAGGGCCTCATCTTCTGGCACTATCTCTGACAATGTGCTGCTTCTGCTCATGAGTTCTTCAGTATCTGACAATGTTTCGGTGTTTTCCATGGCCAATTCCTCTGAAGCGGACACCTTATTTCTTCTTGGTGGGCTGTTCTGAGTCTGGAAGCGCTGCTGGAACCCGCTCACTTTGTGTGACTCTCCTGATTTTTGAAATGCCAGTGACATGGCTTCCAGCAACACACAAGCCTCCTCAGCACGGCAAACTGAGGGAGGGGCAAGTGGTGGCCCGGAGGCTAGAAGCTGAATTCCAGGTACTGGTTGTAGGGGAGGACTCTCAGGAGACGCTAGGGAAAGGTCTTTGTCTCGATGCAGCTTCTGTTCCTTGGCTCCCTAGTGATCTCCATGTGGCACACCAAAAAGAGGAAGCCCTTCAGTGAGAGGGGCTGACACACTGGCTGTAACAAGGGTGCCAATACAGCCGCAATTGGGAGGATGGCCGAGTACCACAGGCAGTGTTCTGTGATACTTACCCGGGGTTGCTGTGGGTTGGAGGTGACTCGGGAGCACCGAACAATAACATCTCAGGCGAGAGGGAATTCTGGTAGCACAGAGGTTAAAGCATTCCGCTGATACCTGAAAGGCCAGCGGTTCGAACCCACCAGCCTCTCCTTGGGAGAATGACGCGAGCAGCCTGCTTCTGTACAGATTCCCACCTTGGAAACCCTATGGAGCGTGTCTCCCTGTCCTACATGGCCACTGTGCATCAGAATTGACTTGATGGCAATGGGTTTTGTGTTACTAATGGGGTAGTGGTTGCTGGGTGGTGCACATGATTCATGGCTTGATTACTGCTAGTAGTTCAGACCCAACCAGTAGTGCTGCTAAAGAAAGTCCTGGTGCTCTCTTTCCATAAAGATTACAGCGTAGCCATCCCTCAGGATCCGTTCTGCTCCACAACACATGCTGGTGGTAGAGGTCAACCTCGGGAGGTAGAGATCCCTGGATGAGTTTGTGCTCAACTATTAGCTGAAAGGGAATGGCTTGGGCTCACCCAGCAGCACAGCAGGAGACAGGCCTGGGATTCTCTCCCATAATGATGGCTGCTGCTGTGGGGCACCATGGAGTCCAATCTGACTCTTCATGACCCTGTGTGATCGAGTCGAACTGCCCCGATGGTTTCCTAGGCAGGGATCTACACAGAGGCAGATCATCAAATCTTTCTCCCGTGGAGCAGCTCAGTGGGCTTAAAGGAGCCTTTGGTTAGCAGCCCAGTGCTTAACCACGTGTCCCCCTGGTGCCTTGCTGCTGACAGGCACTACTTACCACCCTTTCCATCTATTAGTCTACTCTTCTTTCCCCTCCTCTCCACCCAAGTGCTAACATTAGAGAGCATGGCCCCCAAGGTAATAAAGATGTTGCTGCCCGGATTCTTGTGTAGCTCAGTGTGGCCATGGAGCTACAATATTTGAGCCAACGGCACTTGAAAGGTGATGTGTGCAGCGTGCAGATCACAGGCTGCAACCCAAGGCGATCGTTTTTCTTTCAGCGTCAATCACATGGGAAGGTGGAATAATAGAGGGGGCGGAACAGAAACTTGAGGGGAGAGTAAATAGCAGCCCAGAAAGAGAAAGAAGCGCAGAGCGTCGAGAGAGAGAAGGGAAACTCAGAGAAAAACTCAGATGGATGGGGAAGAGAAGCAAGAGAGAAGAGGCAGTGAAAAAATGAAGAAAAGATAACAGAAACCAAGAGAAATGCTGAGAGCGAGCAGAGATAGTCAATGACGAGAAAGTCCCAGAGAGAAGGAGAGTGGCTTTATTCTTGAAGCGTCTGTTAGGGTCTCCGCTCATTGCAGCACCTTGGCCTTGGAATTGTCTGACTGGTCCAAATCTGAGTGTCTCCTCATTTGAAGGTGAGGGAACTGCAACAGAGAGCGGTCAAAGAAGACCTAATCCAGGCTTACACCACTGAGATTCTGAATCCGCTCCCTCCCTTTGCCCTAATCGCCTTTCCGCTTGTCACCAGGTCTTCCTGGCTCACCTGGTATTTAAAGTCTCTAACCCTCTCATCTGCCCCAATACCATTGGTGACTGCTGCTGGCCTTGTGATTGTTTTCCAAGAGGAACACAAGTGTGTGGACGAAGCACACTAGCCAGGCAGGTGCAAACTGGTGTGCGTTTGAACCTCTCAACTACTCTGGCCACCCACCCACCTCCCGCCCCTTCCAGCCTAGCCCAGACCATAGGGCCCAAGCTGTCCTGCCCCCATCTTTTGGTAAGGCTAAGGCTATGGACATTAGCACAACCAAGGGTTCTCCTGGTGACTATGATGGTGAGAGGACTTCTGGGAGAAAATGCCATCTCAAAATTATGAAAACTTTAGACATCACCAAATATCTTGAAGGGATGAGTTACTGGGCCCTGGGGCCTGAGACTGGTCTCACGACCATAGGCATGCAGAGGAGGCAAAGCTTGGCTCACAAAGACTGTTCTGCATCCTTCGGTGAGTCATGACTCGGACCTTAAAAGCTTGTGAGCGGCCATCTAAGGTACAACTGTGAGTCTGGAGCACAGTTAACTGAAGACACATGGAAACGACTCCAGTGGCCCACACGAACACCAGCTTCCACCACACTGAGGGCAGAAGTGAGCGGTGCCTGGATACTGTGACCAACTGCTCTGAAAAGGACCGCATTAGAAGGTCCTGAGAGTGGTGAGATAGCCTTACGGGTCAGGTAGACACTGCAGAACCCAGAGACCGTCCCTTAGTCAGGGTTCAGGTTTTAGGAAATAACTTAGCTCCACGGCTCAATCTTCAGCCAAACAACTGACAGGTCTGGAAAGGGGACAAGAACACGTGGGAGGTACACAGCATGGCAGTAATGATCCTCTTGAAGTCGAAAGGGCAGCATTTTACCCAAGAGCAAAATTTGGAAAGGAGGCATGCCAATAGAAAACTGAAGAAGTCGAGTGACCCACATTGTGGGGATTGCCATCAGTGACACGGGACAAAATGTGTATGGTCTGTTGGGTAGAAAACGGATTTGCTCTAAACTTTCACTCAATTCACAATCTTAAAAAAAAAAGAAAAACTAAGCAAAAGGAATCTGTGATGATACCTCACTTTCATGAACCTCGGGATCTCCTTTCCTATAGTGTAGCACTCCCACCATATTGTGATTTGCATGGGATTGACCCTCCCCCTCTTACTGTCTGGGTAGTGGTTTCTGGCCAACCTTGGCCATCAATCCCATGCCCTTTGAAAACAAGGCCCAGACTTAAGACCATGAGCAAGATGACATTTCTCTGGCCACCGAGAGTTGGATAGAATGAAGCTTAGAGCTTGTTTCCAATAACTGGGAGAAGACATTGCTCTCTCTGAATGTGGAGAAAACATGCACTCTGGGCTTAGTGGAAACAGTCCTCAACCCACGAGCGGAGCCAGGCTGGGGAAGAAAGCAGTCACAGAGACCAGGGCGATGGTTTCTATAAGCCTGATTGGCTGTTTCTCTTGGTTTGCTACCCAAAGGGTGCTTATTGATACATGATAAAAAATGAGTTATGTACTCCTTATGTACGCCAGTGTCAGGAAGTGTGGGATATACTTACATACCAGGATAGATCAGCAACAGCCAGCCCATCCAACTCATAGCAGCCTTACTGAACACAGTCATGCTACTCTGCAAGGTTTCCCAAACTCAGCTTTACAGAGCAGACTCACATCTTTTCCCCACACAGCTACTGGGGCGGTTCAAACCATTGACCTTTGGGTTAACTGCCAAGCAATTAAATGACTGAGCCACCCAGATTGCATTTCATTAGCAACCAACCCAAAACACCCACTACCTTTGAGTGGATTCTGACTCCTAGCAATTTTATAGGATGTCCAAGAGTATAAATCTATTGGGGAGCACTCAGCCCCATCTCCACTCAGCCCACGGAGTGGCTGGGGGATTCAAAGTGGTCTTTTCTCGTGACTCCTGGATGGTAAACCTGCTTCCATATAGCCTCGGGCAACCTTATGGGGCAGTTCTGCTACTGTGTCATATGGCTGCCTGCAGTCTGATCACGCCCCATGGTATGGAAAACTGCATCAGATGTTAAACTGCACAAAATGAAAAGTTCCCGGGGAAAGTAGACTTTAGTGGGGGGATGGGGCAGGGAGAATTCCACGTGTAAACTGAGCTGCGGGCACCCCCGTTTCAAGTTAGCCTTGGGAGCTAACCTTAAGTAGCCTTCAAGTAAGTCTTAACTGTCAAACCCAGACAGGCTGTGGGCTCTGTCCATCATGTGTATACCCATTAAATCCATTACCAAACCAGTTGTGGTCAAGTCAATTGGGACTCCTGGTGACCCCCGTCGATGCAGAGTAGAGAGGCGCTACTTGGGGCTTTCAAGGCTGTGACCCTTTGGGAATTGATTTCCAGGCCATTCTCCTGAGATACCTCTGGGTGGGATCAAATAGCCAACCACTCAGTGAGTAAAGTGCTGACTTTGCCCCCCAAGGACTCCTCATTAAATCCAATACTTAATTTCAACTTGAATATCAAACCTGTTATTTGTTTTCTCCTCTTCTCCCTCCATTCCCTGGAAACCATTTCTGACAGGACAGTTAAGTACTGATCAACCTGCTTCAATGACTTGCCATTTTGCAATGCTGTGTGCCATCAAGCTGATCCTGACTCAGTGGCAGAATAGAGCTGGCTCCGTAGGCTTTCCTAGATTGTCAACTTCACAGCTTACTCTGTCTTGGAAGGTGTAGAGGCAGAGTCTCCTTAGAATACAAGGCTAGGAGACTTCATCTGGTGTACTTCAAACATGTCATACAGAAGGGCCAGTCTCTGGAGAAGGGCATCATGCTTAGCAGAAGTTCAGTGAAAGAGCAAAAGACCTTCCATGAGACACATTGGTACAGTGACTGCAACAGGGGACTCAGACATGGCGATAATTGTGAGGAGGGTGCGGGAAAGGGCAGTTTCATTCCGTTGCACACAGGGTCACTATGAGTCAGATCCACTGCATAACACCTGCGGGCAACAATTTTTATGGAAGCCACTTGCCAGGTGCTTTCTCCTGTGGAACTGCTCATTGGGTTTGAACCACCAACCTTTTAGTTTGCTTAACCACTGTACCAGTGATAAGTGATACCAACGATAACCACTTATCAATGATAAGACCTCCCTTTATTAAAAATAAATCACAACAGAACAGTATGAGAAAGGCAAGCATTTAAAACATTGTTATTAGCTAACTCTGCTATTCCCCCCACCCGAGAAGACTTGACGAGCTTCTGTTACTTGGTGGCCTTCAGAGTGTTGCAGGAGCATGTACGGGGAGTAGGATGCGGGAATGGTTGAAGCCCTTCTAGCCCAAAGAAATGCACAGGTGATGACAAATGGGCAATCCGGAGGAGATGGCAAAGGGGGAAATGTCCCAGTATTCACTTGCTGAGTTCACCCCGTCCCTCTTTACTACTGAGGAAAGTGAGATTTAGAGCTATGAAGTGAATGGTTCAATTCCGTGTAATGATTTATTCAGAGAGCTGGTCCTGGAACTCAGATGCTTTTAAGTCTTGATTGTGGAACTCCCATTACTACCTTCCAAAATTGAATCCATTCTTGTTGAGTCAGTTCTGACTCATGGACACCCCACATATGCTAGAGTTTTCTTGGACTGTTCTACTACTGACTGGCTCTTGTGCTCCAACAGAAGGACCCTCACACTAATGATATGAATTAGAGATCCCTAGGTCCCTGAGTGATGCAAGTGGCCTTGCACTCAGCTGCTAACCTGAAAAGTGCTAGTTCAAGCCCACCCAGTGGTGTCGCAGAATAAAAGCCAGGTGATCTATTTCTGGTCAAATCACACAGTTCTACTCTGACACACAACGGGTTGTCATGGGTGGGAATTCGCTTGATGGCAACGAAAATCATCAGTGTAATTTCTTAAGTTCCAAAAAGCAAAACTCCACATGGAAGTCATCCCCATGCCTCTCCTAGGTGTGAATCCTCAGGTGTCGAGTAAGGTTTGCATTTCGGCTAAAAGTTTTCCCACATTCGCTGCACCTGTAAGGCTTCTCCCCGGTGTGAATTCTCTGGTGGACTGTAAGTGAAGAGTTTTTGATGAAAGACCTCCCGCACTCATTGCATTTGTAGGGCTTTTCTCCCGTGTGGATCCTCTGGTGCTCAATGAGGTACGCACTTTGGCTAAAGGATTTTCCACACTCGTTGCACTTATAAGGCTTCTCTCCAGTGTGCACAATCTGATGCACGATGAGGGATGAGCGTCCTGTGAAGTGCTTCTTGCAAATGTAGCACTCATAAGGCTTTTCCCCCGTGTGAATCCTCTGATGTTGAGTGAGAGAGGAGTTCTTGCTGAATGCCTTCCCACACTCGTTACATTCAAAGGGTTTCACCCCAATATGAAACCTTTGGTGCTGAATGAGGTATGAACTCTGACTGAAAGTTTTCCCACACTCATTGCACACATAAGGCTTCTCTCCAGTGTGGTTTCTCTGATGAAGAGTAAGGGATGAGCTCTTATTGAAAGCTTTCCCACATTCCTTACACTCATAGGGCTTTTCGCCCGTGTGAGTCCGCTGATGTTCGGTCAAGTGCATGTTCTGACTGAAGGCTCGCCCGCACTCACTACACACATAGGGTTTCTCCCCGGTATGCGTCCTCTGATGTACAATGAGGTGCATGTTCTGGCTGAAGGTTTTCCCACAGTCACCACATGTGTATGGTTTCTCTCCTGTGTGGATTCTCTCATGCTGAGTAAGGGATGAGGTCTTCCGGAAGGCTTTCCCACACACACTGCACACATACGGCTTCTCTCCGGTGTGAGTCCTCTGGTGCACGATGAGGTTCATGCGCTGACTAAAGGCTTTCCCACAGTCATGACATTTGTAGGGTTTCTCTCCAGTGTGAACTCTCTGGTGAATGGTGAGGGAGGAACGTTCTATAAAGTGCTTCCCACAGATGTTACACTGGAAGGGTTTCTCTCCTGTATGAACCCGCTGGTGTTTTATCAGGGATGAGCTGCGGCTGAAAGCCTTGCCACACTGACTACAGTCATAGGGCTTCTTCTCTATGTAGACTTTGGAAGCTTTATTTAAGTCTGAGTTACTTAAGAAATGCTTTCTGTGTGTTACAAGTGCATGGGCCCCCTTTTCCATGGAGTCTTCCAACTTTGGTGGGACCAGGGTGGAGCTTTGTTTACAAACAGCCTTAAATTCGTTATATTCAGGGCCTAACTCCCCAGTAAGCTTGTTCTCATGGGACATTTCCAATGTCTCCAGATGGGTCTCTACACATCCCTCCTGCTTCTCCAGCCAGTTACCCTGTTTCCATGCTCCTTTGAAGGAAGAACACCAGCCACCCTTCCGTGTTGGTCCCTCTGCGACCACCTCACAGAATGGTTGGTCTTCCAAACTGCCCTCCTTTGGATCTGAATCTTTCATTTCGGGTCTAGTTTCCCAATCTGGAAATAAACAGATAAACAAAACAAACAAACAAAAGCAAAAGATATAAATATATGTAGACATCAACTTTGGAGTAGAGATCTGCGAAACTGGACCAGGGAAACCCAACTGACGATTTGATGAGCCAGACACAGAAAAGAGGTAGCAAACAACCACCTATCAATGGGAGAGGAAGGGAGGAGGGAAGCCATGATCTGCAAATAAACACGGTTTATGGAGGTAGAGCCAACGTATGGGAAGACGGGAGAACAGGGAGTGTTCCTTCAAGAACAGATGGACACAGGGCCAGAAGAAGGGGGACCGGAAGAGAGGCCCCCACAGAGAAACAAGAGGAGGGAAGCGGCGCTGAAGAAAGCACACCGGAAGGTTCTCACAGACTTCTGCTTAGCTGCCATTGAGTGGCCTCATGTTGACCCAGGGTACAACGGAACAAAAGGCCACCAGGTTCAGTTCCTTCCTTAAGTTCAGGTGTCAGCTGGATTGCTGTGACCCACAGGGTCCTCACGGGCTGATTAGGGGAAGTAAATTGCCAGACCTCCCCCCCGCCCCCCCCCCAAAAAAAAGAGCCTTGGTGGCGCAGTGGTTATGCGTTGGGCTGCTAACCTTAAAGTCAGCAAGTGGAAACCATCAGCGGTTCCTCGGGAGAACGTCAGGGCTTTCCACTCCTTAAGAGAGTTACAGTCTTGGGAGCTCACAGGGGGCAGTTCTACCCTGTTCTATCCATCCTGCTGTGTCCTGTATGTCCTGCTGTGAGTCAGTACTGACTTGATGGCAGTGAATTCATTTTTGTTTTGTCTTGGTTTGGTTTCGAAGTGCTACTGCCCTGAATCTGCTTATCTCCGTATCCCCTAGTAGGAGGTGAAATTCTTAAGAACAAGACCCGTGTGTCCCAGCCCCTACAAACAGTAGTACTTGGTAAACAAAAGGCACCAGAGAAACATTTCCTGAGCATTTTTGGCGCACCCAGCACAATTACATGGATCTTCTCATGCAATCCTCATAACCACACATGGATTAAGGGCAGTCTTGTTGCTGTTGTGTATTGATTTCATTTTCAACTCATAGTGACCTCATATAGCACAGCAAAACTGCCCCCATAGGGTTTCCAAGGCTTGCTTTTTCCTGTGCCTAAGCTGCTCTTTTCTATATTTCAAAACTGCGTGGGCTTAAAACACACCCTACATGACGGAGACTCATTAACCTAAAAAAAATCCGGTTCTCAGATTGGACTGGAAAACACTCTTAAAGGCCAACAAACAGTCCTTGAACTAACTACAAGCTTTTCTGTCTTGTGTTTTGTTTTGTTTTGTTTGTCATTGGTTTATTGTTGTTTTGTTGTATATTGTTGCTTGGGTTTGCTGTCTTGTTTTTGTGCATGTTATTATCTCCACAGG